AACTTACACCATACACCAAAATAAACTCAAGAAGGATAAAAGACTTAAATATAAGTCACAAAACCATAAAAGTTCTAAAGGAGAACATAGGGAGGAAAATCTCAGATATTTCATGCAGCAATATTTTCACTGATATGTCCCCTAGAAGAAGGGACATAAAGGAAAGAATAAACAAATGGGACCACATCAAATTAAAAAGCTTCTGTGTGGCTAAAGAAAATATCAACAAAATGGAAAGGGAACTGGTATGGGAAAATATATTTGCCAATGATACCTTGGACAACAGTTTGCTCTCCAAAATGTATGACAAGCTCAGGAATCCACTGCAGGAAGACAAACAATCCAATTAAAAAATGAGGAAAAGACCTGAACAACATTTCTCCAAGGAAGACACACAGAGGGCCCAGAGACATATAAAATGATGCTCAGCATCACTAGCCATCAGAGAGATGCAAATTAAAACCAAAGAGATACCACTTCACACTGGTGAGAATGGCCATCATAAACAAATCAACAAAAAAAAAGTACTGGCAAGGTTGTGGAAAAAAGGGAACACTAGTACACTGTTGGTGGGAATGCAGACTGGTGCAGCTACTATGAAAAACAGTATGGAATTTTTCTCAGAAAGCTAAAAATGGAACTGCCTTTTGACCTGGCAATTCCACTGATTACATTATACCTAAAGAACCTTGAAACACTAAAAACACTAGAAATCTAAAAGAACCTATGCACCCCAATGTTTACAGGAGCATTTTTACAATAGCCACATGTTGCAAACACCCTAAGTGCCCATTAGTAAATGAGTGGATCAAAAAACTGTGGTACATTTATACAATGGAATACTATGCTGCAGAAAGAAAGAAGGAACTCCTACCTTTCATGGCAGCATGGATGGAACTGGAGAGCATTATGCTAAGTGAAATAAGCCAGGTTATCAAAGACAAATACCATAGGATCTCACCTATAAGTGGAACAACCTAATCAACAAAATGAACAAGCAAGCAAAATATAACCAGTGACACTGAAATAAAGAACAAACTGACAGTAACCAGAGAGGAGGTGGAAGAAGGATAATAGGGGATAATAGGGGAAGGGCCATCAAGGAACATGTATAAAGGACATATGGACAAAGTCAAAGTGGGTATGTTCAAGGGTGGAAGATGGGAATGGGTGGGGTATGCAGGTGTGGTGGGGTGAAAATGGAGACAACTGTACTTGAACAACAATAAAAATAATAAATAAATAAACAAGTAAAATAGCATAAAATAAAATAAAATGAAGATGGATGAAAGATCCACAACCCAAGGAATACAGAAGTCCTCTAGAAACTGAAACAGGCAAGGAAATAGATTCTCCCCTAAAGCCCCCCAGAAAGAACACCTAAAGTTTTAGCCCAGTGATACCCATTTCAGATTTCTGAGCTCCAGAACTATAACATAGTAAAAAAAAAAGATATGATACATTTATACAATCAGATTCTACTGAGTCATAAAAAAAGATAAAATACTGCTTTTTGCAACAGCATGGTTAGACCTTCAAAATATCATGCTAAGTAAAATAAGTCAGAAAAAGCTAAGAACCACCTACTTCCACTCATATGTGAAACTCATACACAGAGACGACAATTCAGTGGTTACCAGAAAAGAGGGGTGCTGGAGTAGTGAAGAGTACAGGGCGTCAAGTGTATGGTGACAAAAGGTGATTTGACTTGGGGTATATACAATGCAATATACAGATCAAGTATCACAGAATTGTATACTTGAAACCTATAAGATCTTATTAATCCGTGTTTCCCCAATACATTTAATTAAAATAAAAAGAGATGATACCATCTAAACTAAGAAAATAGTGGGTATTTTGTGGCTGCTGGTAAGGAAAGCATAGTCTACTATTTATTTGTATACTTTAATCTTGATTTCTAGGAACAGATTTTGATTATCAGCTCTTCTTTGTATTACTATAAACAACTCTAGAAGGCTGCCATATTTGTTGCTTCCTCTAAAGTACCATGGCAGAATGACAGTCTGGTGAAGTCTGGACCATGGGGACAGATTAGTGGATACCTTTCAGAGACTTTTCACAATAACCCCTTTCTTAGCCCATCCCCATCACTGGAATGCCTTGATAGGGATCCATGCAACCATGTTTATACTATTGACCTAACCCCATATCTCACCCATGTAGACTTGACCAGAAATGGGATCTTGGCCCAAGTGGGCTAATCAAAGGTCTTCTTTTAGAATACTGAATGGGTACAAAAAGACTAATATTTAGTTTATCCCCATGTTTTGAGATATAATACGTGTCTAGCATCCATCCTATAGGTGACAAAGTTTTGTTAAATAGACAGTGAGTAGAGGAAATATGCTTTCAGAGAAAAGCCACCAAGCAGAGGAGCAAAAAGAAGCAGATATGAGAGGCAGGTGGAGAACCTCACTGGTTCTAAGCCTTTCTGAGGCCCAGCCTCTTTCATTCCTACCCTTGAACTCTGGGAGACATGAGCATGTTTATACCAAATTCTTTATTGTGATTAAGGCAGCTTGAGTTGACTTTCTTACCTGCAATCAAAGTGTCCTCACTAATACTTTAGGTGTCAAATACCCAACAGAAAGTCACAGGATGTACAATAAAATCCAGGAAACCAGATCTCTAAAAACAACGTTAAGAGGTTCATTGCTGTGCTTAGCATTACCTCAGCAGACAGTGTTCCATCCTATGTTTTTAAAAAATTAATTAGAAATGTTTCTTCCAAGTCACTGAAAGACCTCTTTTGCTACAGATTCTTTTTACAAAATCTAATGGAAAATCTCCAGGTTAAGGTTTATTTATAGAGGGTGATGAATTTCCTGCTTCCATGAATTCCTGTGTATCTCAAAGTTTCAATATTATTTTCAAGGTGACTCACTGTTGTTTCATTTATCCATCTCTGCGCCAAACATTCCAGCTTGCTTTATAGTTTAAATAATTTCATGCAAAAAACTTTTTAAAAAATTTGATGTGTAAAAATTTTATGTGAATGTAATTAGAAGTAATAAACATTGATTCTGATGATGCTCAGGAGTATTGATAATATTCAGTAAAGCACAGTTTTCAATAGTTATGTATTGGGTATCAGTTATGCACACAAAGCTAGCTACTGGTAATATAAAGGTGAAGACTCTTTAATATGTAAATACTTAGGTAATAACACTACATGATAGTGCTGTATCTATCCTCTTGAGGACAATATTCTGACATCTCAGTAACTAACCCCGAAGGGGCACCAGGAAATTGTTTTCTGTCATCAAAAATGTGTGAGGTTGAGTAGCTCTGCCAGGCAGAGGGTGGAGAGAGCCATGTGCTTTGGGGGAATGGTGAGACTTTCCCCAAGGATTGGGTGTGGAAGGGTTTGAATGGTAAGAAATTTAACTTGGTGCACTGGTCTTTGACCGTTGTCACTTGCATTTTCTTTTAAATAATTTGACAGAAAAAGATTGATCTCAATGTTCAGCACAAATAGGCATGCTAAAACGTTTCCTAGGGCAATCATATCAATTAATTGTGATTTCAAAATCTAAGTGGGAGCTCCGGCTGGTGTGGCTCAGTGTATTGGAGTATTGTCCTACAAATTAAAAGGTTCCGGGTTCCATTCATGGTCAGGCACATGCCTAGCTTGTGGGTTTGGTCCCCTATCAGTGCATATATAAGAAGGCGACTAATCAATGTTTCTCTCTCTTCCTCCCTTCTCCTCTCTCTAAAATTAATAAGCATTTTCTCCAGTGAGGATAAAAAAAAATTGGAAACATCCGAACAAGGTCATCTGTTCTGATTGAAAAAAAAAAATCTAAGTAGGAAAGGAGAGGGAGGGATGACAGAGAGAGAGAGCGAGAGAGAGAGAGAAAGAGAGAGGAAAAAATGGGCAAAAATTTCCCTTCTTCTCCCCTTTCCATATTGCTTACCTGAAATAATCTACTTTTACTCTCAAATTATCTCTCTATTTGGCTCCCAGGAGCATTCCCTGCCCTTCTTCTACAGGTAGTTTATTTTAATAAGAATCAGGGTGGATGTGGGCAAAGAAGAGGACACAAGCTAATGAATAAATGAGAAAGCAGAAGCAGCAGGCCAAATGAATCTTTCTCAACCTGGGAGAAAACACATGAAATTTAAGCATCCACAAAAGGACTCACTTGGCACTATTTATGTCATGTACCCTCAAGAAGTCTCTGAGGCCTCAAGATAAGCATCCTCTAGTCTATAGATCCCTGTATAGTGAATGGTGGTCATTCTGCTTGCATTCTGCCCATGTTGGGGTCAAGGCCAGTCTTGTTTCTCAGAGGAAGTTCTTCTCTCTTCAGTAGCACTACTTGGAACTTCATCCTTGTGGCCTCCAGGGCAATAGATACAATCAGTGATTCAGGAGATCACTCAAGACTAAGGATGCAGCCCTGGCTGGCATAGCTCAGTGGATTGAGTGCGGGCTGCGAACCAAAGCATCGCAGGTTCGATTCCCAGTCAGGGCACATGCCTGGGTTGCAGGCCATAGTCTCCAGCAACTGCATATTGATGTTTCTGTCTCTCTCTCTCTTTCTCCCTCCCTTCCCTCTCTAAAAATAAATAAATAAAATCTTAAGAAAAAAGACTGAGGATACAGTCTTCGGTTGTGTTTTTTGGGGGGTAGTAAAAGGGAATAAAACTTTTATTTTGAGGTTTTGGAAATCAGAAAAGAAGTTACTAGGGAGAGGGAAGCAGGTGAGGTGGTGAATCAGTGTCAGAGAGAGGTACTAGTTTGGCTCTCAAGCCCTAAACTTTCCCTGCCTGTAACAGGAGCAGAGTCTTAAGATTTGGGTAACTGATTGATGGAGGTATTTATATCCATTTCCAATCATTTATTTCTACCATGTTTTGTCAACCATTCTTTTTTCTTGGTCCAGTTCACATACATCTTAGGCAAATTTCATAACATTATTTTCTCTTTTAATGATTAAAAGGTAGGTTTTTTTGTTTTTATTGTTGTTTTTTTTTAGGGTGCCAGGACCAACAATTACTAGCTGCCCAGGTACCAAAAAATTATGCTTCCGAAATCTCTTGATGTCGATTCCGCACATAGAGCAATCAAGCTGCCCTACGTGTGCCACTCACGACAGAAGCCCTTTTTTAAAAGGTAGTTTTTAATGTTTAAATGTAGTCCAATCCCCTCTAACGCTGCCAAGAAACACCAAATTTTAACTCTATTTGTTGACTGTTCTTTCCCCACTTCAGTCTTGAGGTCTGACCATGGCTGTTTCTTAAAGTCAGGAGGAGAGTGAAGTTCAGGAGCTGGCTTCAAGTAACCCGCCTCCCCTGCCCTCAGCCATTTTTCAAACCTTGGCCCTATTGTGGGGACATAGAGGTGAAACGGGAATGCAGACCTAGAATTTTCTTAGTAACTAGTCACCTGTCATTGGCTGGAAGTCACCCTCGACGGACAGCACAGTGGGTGATTGTCACTTTTGTCTGTGGCCCCCATGGTGACAGCACATGTATTGCGTGTGTTTGCTTGTGTGTGTGAATCAACTTCATCTGGGCCCCTTCTATCATTGAATACCTTTCAAAAGTAAGGCAGCTGTGTCAACTTTAACTCAGTCCTTTCCTCAGAGCTCTTCTCAGGAGGGGCATCACCTCATTTAAACTGCCTAACAACACCACAACACCAACTTATCTCTACTCTCTGTGCTTCTTCAAGTGGACTGAAGCAGGAAACACTAGGTTCTGTTGCATATGTTTGGAGGGTCATGCATAACTGGGCTACAGTATAGTACCTCCATCCCTCACTCTCCTATTGTTCCCAGGTACATTATACTGTGGTCCTTTTAAGTCCAGCTGGTACAGGATACTCCCAGGGCCATCTACTTCCAGAGCAGTGCGCCAAAAATTGTCTTTATGTCTTTTTACAAAGGGTACATGTGCTAAATACTCCTAAGAACCTTTTCTCTACACTGCACTTCGATGCAGCACAGGAATCAATGTTGCAGAATTTTCATCTTTTCTTCTAGGCATCACCAACCTTAACTATTGATTCTCTTGGGGCCCTTCCATCATGTTGCTTTGGGTAATGCTGCTGGTGGTATTTTTCTCTGTTCTCCATTAGGAAAGGGATAAAAACTTCTCACTACAAACATGGCACTGCTCCAAAGGCAATGACTTCAAGGATCCCTTCTCTTCCCTTCCCAGTCCTCTCCTTATATAGACTAGAAAAATGAAAGATAGGCTGATGGCAGTATAGATGGCTCTGCTTCCACTAGCGAGCCTCATTGGGTTGCATCTCATCCCAATTACTAGTAATCCTAGACAGTTCTTTCAAATCTGTGATATAAGAAGCCTCCTGTTTGTAGAATGTAGCAAATTCTACTTCATATGTCAGGTATCTTGGGCAAGAAGGGTTATTTATTATTCTATAAAAATTCTGGTGTGTTCAGGAAGGATGATAAAAGCACTGCAATCTCTGCTTTCCATTTCAAGTAATGAAGTTACTCTTTATTTTGGGGTTCTCAAAGGTAGGTTCCAGGATATGGAAATGATGGGCACTAATATTTTATACATTAAAGTCAATGTAGCTAGAAAAATAGTTGAAAGTGTAGCACGAATCTGGAGCTTGGAACAGAATGTCAGTAAGAGAGAGATGATTTGAAGCCATTAATGCATAGATGGCATTTGAAAGCTTGGAAATGAATGGCATCTTCCATGGAGAATAAGTAGGGTGGGAAGGAAACTAGATATAGAGGCAAACCTTGGAGACCATCAGTAAGGGGTGAGAAGGAAAAGAGAAGAGACTAAACATTTCTAGAAAGTCAGAGATAGTGGAAAGATTAAGAAGCAATGAACAAAGAAACAGGAAAAGAGAAAACAGAAATAGAATTGGTTCGGCAAAGAAAGGTGAGAAGTGATTAGGAAGTGTGACACTGAAGAAGAACGACAGAAAGGAGAGAAAGGAGAGCTAGCTCTTTCAGGTTCTGGCATAATGCCACCAAAATTTGCCTGACAGGTCCCTCCAAAACCCCAGTGGCATAGGCTGTCCAATATAAATCTGGAAAAGGTGTGAAATTTAGGGTTCTCCCTGAGTATTCTCACTGGTTGTGTTAATATGATAACTTGTTCACAGAGTGTGATGATTAAATTTATGGGTCAACTTGTACAGGCTATGGTGCTCAGTTCTTTGCTCAAATAATAGCCTAGATGGTGCTATAAGGGTATATTATGTGTGATTAACATTCACAATCAGCCAACTTTAGGTAAAGCATATGACCTTCCATAATGCAGATGGGCCTCATTCAATCATTTAAAAGCTTTAACAACAAAGACTAAAGTTTTCCAAATAAGAGGAATTCTGCCTCAAGGCTGCAACATAGAAACCCCCACCTGTGTTTCCAGACTGATAGCATGCCTGGCAGACTGGGGACTCAAGCCTGCACCATCAACTTTTACTTGAATTTGCAACTTGCAAGCCTGCTCAACAACTTTTAGGCTTTCAACCCCAGCTGCATGAGCCAACTCCTTAAAATTATTCTTTTTCTGTACATGATTAATATGATTACATTAGTGATTATTTAATTAATATCCTAATAAGTATAATTAATCTTATGTAATTTATTAAATTATAATGTTAATATACCTTATTATTTACATATATACATGCTAATCTTATCTTAATGTATTCCATTTGATGATGTATTAATATTATAGACTATGTTATATAATAAGATATTTCAAGATACACATATATGAAGATGGAAACAATAATATATCTATGTAGCTAGCCATCAATTCTGTTTCTTTGGAGAACACTGACTAATGCATGTGTACCTTCTATCACAGAAGTAGGATTCTACTTAGTAGCTTTGTGTTTGTTTTTCCCACTAGATTACAAACTCCTTTAGGTCCTGAGTGCTTCTCATTCATGTTTGTATCTAAGTTGTCTGGTATATTTTAGGCACATAAGAAATAACTATAGATTTAACAGATCAGTAAGATCTTCTAGATAGTAATGGACTAAAAATGTTATCTTTTTATTCTAATAAACACCACAGTTGTAGAATAATTTTGCTTTAATTGATGATACCAAGTTTGGTGTGTGCTAATTAACAAGATCACAGGCTGAAGATCTGAGGATAATCCATCAAGTCATGGCACCTATCAATAAACACCAAGGAAAATGGAGTTGAGTTATTCTGGGCTCTGACACATTAGCATTGGAGCCAATTTAACCCTCTGACCACAAACTCAGCATGCAACACACGATGCATTTCTTCAATTTCTTAAAATTTTATTAAATATTATTCTCAGCCTTTATCTTTTTCTGTTCGTGGAAAACCAGTCACTTTCATTATTGGAGTGACCTATATCCCATACAGGTGATGGGAAGATGGGTATTAGCAGCTCCTAGCATTCTGACCAGCACTGTGGATTGTGAGGTCTTTGGAGCTACGCCTGCACTCAGCCTGCAGAGTGCCTCCAGTGCAGCAGCTGTTGGCCTGTGTTACGTGCATTCTTTAGCACATGGGGGTCTTGGCCTGGAAACCTGGTGCCTAGAGTTCAGCCTACCTGGGCAGGATGTGAAAGGGTTTCTTTTGCAGTTCTTCCTTGGGAACTACCCGAAAGTGGGATGCCCATCCCCTCCTGTCTTTTCTGGAGAGAATGCCATGTTCTTTTTGTTGTTATCAAAAATGCTCCTAACATAATCTGAAAAGTCAATTTAAGGTTTTTTACCTCCCTGTCCAAAAAAAAGAGTTACTGTTAAGTAGCTCCTGCTTTCTGCTCAGAGAAAGAAATCCATAAACTATGGAAATGCTAAAGTTACCTGCACATAAAATGAAGTGAAAGGAAAATACAGCAAATTAAATGTTTCAGAAAATTGTTCTACCATAGAATATTTTATTCAGCAATCAAATACATCACTTACCTTACCGGCACTTTTCTGTTTGCAAGGAGACACAAGATAGTGACTGTGATATTAGCCATCAGAAAAGCTAAGCCAGCACCCAGCAGAGTCCAAACATCTAGAATTTCAAATTAGTGAAAAAGGTAAATATGCAGCTAAGAATATTAGACATTCAAAACCAAGTGACTTGTTTAGTCACAATGGTACCCACTATGCTGAGAGTATGTAAAATCTGCTGTAGATGGGCTAGCTTTGATGTGGCATCAATTTCCTTTCCATCCTTGTCCACATCTGGAAATGAGATAAAACATGTAAGGAAAAAAAAGGTAGAGACATATTTTAGCAGTATTGTCATGGAATAAAATGATGAGTGTCAATAAACAGTGAGACACCAGCCATGTGGGTAACTTTGATAAGAACCTAAAGCCAACACAAAATTAAATTTTATTATTTTCACATTGTTGTGTAAGATGATGATTGTTCATGATTTATCCTCTTCTTGACTTTATAAGGTGGGAACTTGGTTTTCACAGGTTTCTTTTTTTGTTTTCAAAAATTGACTTGCCTTTCACCAGTGTCCCTATTACTTTACTCATCACTTGTCTCACTTAAAATCTAGCACATTTTTCAATAGTAAGTGGATATAAGTTATTTTAGATACTGATAGAGGATATTCAAATTACAGAATAACATAAATATAGATCACAGAGTATATTTATTTTTCATTAAAAACAGATGATCTTTCCAGTTCATCGATTTGGAATAAGGTTAATAATCTTGCAGAAGACATGAGGAATACTACTAGAATTTCAGTCCCTTTGCTTTACTTAGGAAAATACATGGTGAAATGTCTAACAACTGGGGGCATCTCCTTTGATATAGGTGGCCTTCAGACAGTTCAGACATGGGGATGAGATTGTGCCTTACTGTGTGAGAAGATTTATTTCTAAGTGGTAAACATATCAGAATATTTCTGGTAGTATGTGTTTGTTTATGGGTGTGAACGCTTGTATACATATTTTTGTTTACCATAAATAACCAGATACAAATTAAGAAGGGTTTAGTTGAATTTCCTGTCAGGTTCATGGTATATGCTACAAAATAGTATTAAAAACTAGCTTTTAAATAAAAGCTGGATGTTAGAAGCAATGCTTCTTCAGCACACATTTACTATAGTTTCTCTCAACTCTCTTTCTGAACTTGAAAATTTGAATGCTCAATAGCAATTTCTTCACAAATCA